TACTTCTTTGTGTTATGATTTTGAAAAACTTGTGACCAACTATTTATGATCTGGCGAGAAACCCATGAAAAGGTGAACTTCGATTTTGGGACCTAATTTATGAAATTTGAGACATATTATTTGAGTAGTTTGTGACCTGATGTGGGTATTTTGTGTTGGAAATATCATTTTGTGACCTGTTTTAGGTATTTTGTAATTTGAAGGGTTTGTGATTTATTTCATGTACCGTGTGATCAATTACTATTTATTTTAATCGAATATGTTTTCTAAGGAGTGCTGGATTGTTTGTGAATGAAATAGGTGTTGTGACTTTTTACTTCTTTGTGTTATGATTTTGGAAATTTGTGACCAACTATTTATGATCTGAATATATATGATTTGGCCACAGGGAAATGTTTTGTGTTGAAGGTCACAGTAACATTTTTTACATTACGATTGTACAAGATTAGAAATATTTAATAAAACCAAAGAATTGGTTTTCTGGGAAGATCACCACAACACCAGAGTGTTATTACGCACTTTGTGCTGAAGTTTAATGCTGCTCAGAGGGAAATTCTAGAAGACGCATGTTTCTCCTACTACATGCATTGTGGGGAGATAGTTGTGCAACCACAATTGATTCACTAAGTTTTACTACGAGAGGTCAAGCAACCGAACAAGCAGGAGATGTGGTTTAACCTAAATGAGAGATATATTCGTTTTTTCAATTGCTGAATTTTGTTTGGTTACGGGATTGAGGTATGATGGGGTCGATGATCGACCGATGTTAGATGAAAAATTATCTTCAGTGAAGAACACATATTTTAAGGACTTAAAAGTTGTTACAAGTGAATATGTCAACAGGGTTTTTATTTTACTGGATGATGCACCAGACCTCGACGTTGTTAAGATTGGAATTATCTATCTCATCATCTCATATTTATTTGCTAAATCCTACCCGAAGGTGGTGGATCAATGCATATTTACACTTGTAGACGATTTTGCCACTCTTGAAACATTTCCTTGGGGTAGATATTTGTTTGAGACCACCTTATAGTCACTAAGAAAGGAACTATAAAAACAAACTAGTCACTACAGATTGACATGTTTTTTAGTGGCTTTCTAGGTGTGGCTGTATGAGTGCATACCTGCACTTGAGGGGAATGTGGCCACAAGAATTTGTAAGAAATATCCACGCATTATTAATTGGATTGCGCACAAACATCCTTCAGCGGAAATGTTAGAGGACAAAGTGTTTGGAAGTAAGAATGTAAGGTTTTAAATACATCTAAATTGTTATGTAATCATTTGGTTAATTATGTAAATTTTGAAAAGACATATGCTCAATATTTTTTCATCTTATGTGAAACAGGTTGTGATAAATGACATTAATCTATCTGAAGTTGAGCTCACAAGGCCATATATGACAGGTTCTAAATATGAACTTTACATATATTATGATACAAAATATTATTTGTGACCTGAAGTATGAATATCCTGTTTGTAAAATGACATATCTTTTATGACTATGACCTGAAATATGTAACTTGTGACTTTCTTTGTCCTTACGTATGTTGTGACTTGTGTCTTGTGACATTCTTTGCTCTTATGTGACTTGTGACTTGTGAATGTGATCTGAAACGTGTGATTAGTGACTTTTTTCATACGGTTAGACTTTTTTCATACGATTGTGACTGAAGTATGAATATCTTGTTTGTAAAGTGACATATCTTTTATGACTATGACCTGCAACATGTGACTTGTGACTTTTTTGGTCCTTATGTATGTTGTGGCTTGTGCCTTGTGACTTTCTTTATTTTTATGTGACTCGTGAATGTGATCTGAAACGTGTGATTTGTGACTTTCTTCACATGACCTGAAGTATGAATAGGTTGTTTTCAAAGTCACATATCTCTTATGCCTGTGACGTGAAACATGTGACTTGTGCCTTGTGACTTTATTCATTCTTATGTATGTTGTGTATGATCAGTAGATGTGCAGGACTCAAAGCCTAGATGATCAACTCAGAACATTAGGATCTATAAAAATCATGCGGGTACAAGTGAGGCAACTCCCCTGTTGTCGAAGGTATACATTGAAGATTCAGATAATGATTTTGTAGACCCACCACTGTATAAACAAACGGGGGTTGCTAGTTCTGGGTCTCGCAATCAGCGTAGTGCTGCCTACCATCCAGATTGCTCTTGCGTTGAAATAAGTAATTTCATTTTATATTCACTTAAGAACACATTTTATATACAATTCCACTAACTACAAAATTTATTAGGAATGTAGTCGACTGAAACAGTTGATTAATAAGGAAATAAGCAAGCTCCAAGTGGAGAACAAGGGGTTGAAAGATGAGCTTACGTCGATGAAGTCAGAACTATCTAAGATGAATGTAAACATGCGTCAATCAAATAATTCTTTGAAGCTCAATGAGGTCATTCAGAGTCACAATGTGTTGAAAGATAGCTTGAGTGACATCAGGTTGTCTCTTGAATCTGTATTGACATTTTGGTGATGGATGAACTTCATATAAAGTTGAGTGGTAAAGATGTTTTGACGGAACAAGTGCCGAAAGATGATGATGATGTTGACAAAAAGGGTAAGAGTCACATGGAACCTGAGCCAAAAGGTGATGATGTTGCTGAAAAAAGTGACAATGGTCACATAGAACCCGAGCAAAAAGGTGATGACGTGACTGAAAAAGTGGACAAGGGTCACATGGCACCTGAGTTTTCACATGTTCATGATGACTATGTTCTTGAATCTCCTTCATTTGATCTAGGAGTTGGCTCTTCACAGACACCTAAAAGCTCCGATGATTCATTTTTTGCCAGTAAAAAAGTGCAGGATCAGGTTGATGAGGCTATAGCATGCGTGTTGTAGTCTACTGAACTTCATTTCAAAGATGTCAGTTTAATGAAACATTTAGTATTTTAATATTATAAATTCAGACTAATAGTCATACACTAATTTAAGAAACATTGTTTTTATGTTTTTTATTCAGGAAGATACACCTGCACCATCATCATTTGGACTGCCTGTGAAGAGAGCACAAAAGTCATCGAAAACTCTGCAGTCACCTTTTGTTAAGGTCGATCCACGTCATGCTGCTACTGGATCAAAATCTAACTCTGTAAACGTTGTGTTCCAAAATTATTCGAAAGGAGTTGATAGTACAGATCTTAGTTCATTTAAGAATTTGTTTGACAGAGAATACAAACCCAAGAATAGGTAAATTAAACATAGATTTTAAGTGTTTTTAGTAAATTGTGACCTTCTATTACTTTTTGTAACTACAACATTTTTGGTCACAGATAGAAATAAATTGATCACAATCTTATTCATTTGTTTGATGAGGGCATATGTGTATGCACATGATAAAGTTCAATGATGCAGATAACGTGATAAGTCCTCAATTTGTATGTGGCACTGTCACTGTTCATTATAAAACTTGGTGGCATATGTTGATTGATTCTAATACATCATTCAACAGCACGGTACAATTTTTTCACCATTTTCCACATATGCATAGTAGTTTGTATTACTTACGTATATTCTTTCTTACTACAGCACTTGGATGCATGCTTTCATTACATAAGACAACTTGCCAAGTTCGGTGAAGATGTGACAATGAAAGTTACCACTACAGACTGCATATTTGATATGTCAATCAAGTCGACATACTCCAAATTTATTCAAGACCCAAGCATTGTTGATAAGAAGGATGAGCTAATCAAAACCGTCAATGGTGAACGGTTATCATTTAATACTTGCCATGTTAACATTGTCCGTGGTTGACCTCAACAACAAAACGGGTAAGTTTCGCTATGGGCATTGCAAATTTTATCATTTTCCATCAATATTTAGTAATTACTTATGGTTTGTCTTCTTTAAATATTACAGGAATGATTGTGGGATTTTTGTCATAAAGTATGCACAGTATTTTTTGCACAATGATCTTGGTAATATGCCAATGTCATTTGATGCTGGGAATGCCAGACTTGAAATTACAGTGTTGCTGTTCAAAAACAAACAATTGAAGTAGTTGGAAAGGGAAGTTCAAAGTCAGATGAATGAACTCCTGTTGATGACATTGTTTTCATGATGAATTAGATTGATAGCTATTCAAAATTAGAAAAACAAATGTTTTTACGATGTATTCGATAGATGTTATATTTCTAATATGTTTTGGAATTGAATTTGAATTTGTTTTTATCAATTGGTATAAGATGAAAGTACTGGTGTTTATGTGAATGATTTTGTTTATATCATCTACGTTTTTTATGGATGTAAAAGTCTATATTTGCACGGTCTGAACAGGTCACGTGAGAATACTGCACAGTTTAAACAGGTAACAAATAGTCACATGTGAGTAATGTGTTATATAACCACAGGTCGCAGATCGTCACAAATAGCAACAGTTGGTTAATTTGCATCACTTGAATAGGTCACAAGTGGTCACATACGAGTACTTTCTTATATGATTGCAAGTCACAGATGGTCACGAATAATTTTGATTAACTTGTTATATATGAACATGTCACAAATGCTTAACATTTATCATTGACACTCTTACAAAAGAAGTAAGCATAGAATTGGTCCCATCTAGTGGAAAATGACATTCGAATTTAGTTTGAACACACAAGTTAAACAAAAAATATAGAACTTATTTTATGCTTGAAATGGTTACAGATGATCACAATTATCAAAAATAGAGTCACAATCAATGTCTGTTTACACAGCAATTTTTCATAAATAAGTGACATCATGAGATATAATGAAAGCTCAATGCATAAATCTGTCAACTCGTATAATCCAAAAGATACGTAGTTTGGCAATAAAATGAAACGATTTGCAATTACAAAGAATATCATTGTGTAAAAAAATTATGCTAAGCTATTTGAATTTCTTTGGATCTTTCTTTATTTTCATTTTTTTGTCATTCTGGTTAAGTGATACCAAATTCCTTCATGTTCGATGATTGTGCCCGAATTCACCGCATCGTCCACATTTCACAACTTGTGATTTTTCATATGCTGACTTCTTTCTCTTCTCAATAGGCCGTCAGAACTTCTCTTTTGGTTTAGAGCAAAGACAACTCTATTACTTACATATTCTGGCAAATTTTATTCTGATTTATTACATACAAGAAAGACAGTCTCTTTATAGGTATTTAGATATACATCTCTTGTGTAATACACCGAGCAAAAGTCATACGTTTAGCTTCAATGTTGCTATTACTGCCAGTGCATGTAGACAGAGAAGTTGATCCACTTGAAACATTCTACAACTACATGTATGTAGAGTTATATCAATTATGTATGATGAAGAATTGTCCCCCACTTCAAACAAAATGTGACTTGCAAGTGAAACCTGAAAATAAAAAATATTTAAAGTTATACTTGTGATCAACATAATAAACATAGTTTTCTTATTTTTACCTTTAGATTTCTCACATCATTGCTCATTTCCCTTAACAACTTCTCATATTTTGTTGCAAACTTTGTGAAAGTGCCATGCACGCCATCTCTATTTTTGCAAAACCAAGATTGGACCGTTTGCCTCAATGATTCTAGAAGTGCTTCAATGGGGTAATTTTTTGCCGCCTTCGTGACTGCGTTAATAGATTCTACTATGTTTGATGTTAGAGTAGAGTATCTATTGGTTGGCATGTGCAATCTTGACCATTTTTCATATCCAACATCTAGCTACAAAATAATTTTAGTTATTAGATAACAAATTCAAGTAATAAGTCACATATGGTCACAGTTAACTCTAAAAAGTTCACAGATAGTCAGTATTATCACAGAACAGGTCACAAATGGATACATTCATAAAACTATATTATGTTTCAATTGTAAATGAGACCACATGCTAAATATGCACTGTATATTTCATTCATAATCATTTTTCAATTTCATGTAACAATAAATGAAATATAATTTGCACATTAAATATGCGTGATCACAGATATTCATAGAAATTTCATAACATCACAGAAAAAGTGACAGGAAGTTATATAACATATGTTTTAGACAATCACATACCAAATATCCCCTGATATCTTCATTTACCGAGTCCAATTGCTGCATTTGGTATTCAAATTCATCAACTGTATAAACTCTTACAGCAGAATTGAATGCATGTATGACATTATGACCTGATTTTGCATAATGAGACTTCAAATTTTTCAGCAAATGATATGAACAGATCTCATGCATTGCCTCTGGATATACAAATTCAATAGCGTTTCTTATGCTATTGTGTCTATCAGATACTATACAAATTCGTCTCTAGATCCGTACGCCCTCTTCAACATCTCAAGAAACCATCTCCATGACTTATCATTTTCATTATCCCCAATCCCAAAAGCTAGTATGAAAATATTGTTATTTGCATCTTGTGTACAAGCGGTAAAGAGTGTACCCCCGTAGTGGCCATTTAAATATGTACCATCAACAACAATGACTGACCTACAATATTTCCAACGAGCAATCGATGCACCCAAAGCCATAAAACAATATTTAAATCTATCTAAATGATCAGTTTCTATTAGTGTGACCGTCCCTATGTTCATCTCTTGTAACATAAAAAAATAAGAAGGTAGCAACTGAAACGATGTTGTTAGATCACCTCTAATCAATTTTAATGTCTGCTCGCGTGACCTCCATGTCTTCATATAATTCACCGATACTTCATATTTGTGTAACATGTCATTTGAGATATCATTAGAAGTGTATATTGTACGTGAAGAAGTGTATTTGTACTTGATGTAGTTTGACACCACTGAGCTAGATGCTTGTCGATGAGATCCTAAAACATTGTTCATTAAGCATGTGTAACCATTACATATTTCCCTGATCTTAAACATTTTCGTTTTCCCAAGCGTGAAGATCTAAATATCCACTTGCAATCATCTTGGGAATACTTTATTACGTACTCCGATCTCAACACCTTATATTCAAATTTGTTTTGTATGGCATAGAAGGCCAAGCTCATTTTCAGTACTTCCTTGCTGCGGAAAATATTTCCTTCCACTACTTCTCTAGCATTTGCTTGAGATATCAATGTCACACCTTCTTCAATGTTTCCGTTCTCAATTGTAGTAACTGAGTTACATATATCCTGAGCTATTTGTTGTAAAGAAAACACATTAGTTGATGACTCAATGGTAGTAATTGACGACTCTGGGCATTGCAACGCACATGTTGACTGCCATGAGTTTGTAGTGATAACATCTACTGCAATAGGATAGTTCGATACAATGCCATCCAAAGATCTTAGCCTCAAATACGTTAAAACATTATTATTACTTAGTATCCGAACTGGAGGTGAACTAGAATCTAAAGAATATGTTAATCTCACACCTACTTCTACATGATTAAGCCCCAATTCTGAAATAACAAGGTGAACCAACTCATCATACTCGCACGTATCATTCACTGGTATAAGTGATGTGTGACCTCCATATAATAGGCAAACATTCAAAATTGTCATCCCTGATCACAAACAAATAACAGCATGTCACACTTCATTCACATAAATTAGGAAACGATTAGATGCAACGACATTGATGAATACAGGCCACAGATGAAGAAGTCACAAATATGTCAATACAGGTCATAGAAGTTATTTAATGTAAATATATTCACATACGGTCAACAAATTTAGTGTTGCAGAGAATCAATTTTCAATGCAATGACATTGATTACAGAAACTAATTCTACTTATGAACTATTTAGATATTTAACATATATGTCACGATCTATTTAATTCAGTGGTCACAACTAGTCACAGTTTACAGAAATATGAACCAATGTGATTGAATCATATAAACAGTCATAGATCAACATGTTCATGACTGTAAATTGAAAACAAAAATTGCATACTACCAATGGTTAATGAAAAAACAAACATCACACACTGGGCAAAATATAGTTTATTCTTAACAGCGTGAAATCTCTGATTATGTTTGGATAAATGTTTCAATAGCTTCAAAAACACCCGTTTCTTCAAAATCATAAGCTATACTAAGTAATTATAAGCTTACCTTCGAAGTCAGATCACAAAACTTCAATTTCTGCTTTGGGCAAATCGAATTCTTCCATACTCCAGCATCGATTTTCTCCAATTAAATGAAAATTAGCAGTATATCGACGAGATTGATCGATTGCAGCTTGAAATTGAGGAATTCCAATGAAAATTTCGTGATGTTTGGAGAGTTTTTGGTGAATTCGTTGTGTAGAGAGAGAGTTTTTGTGGAACCCGTTTTGTAGAGAGAAAATCTCGTTTGATTATGGTTGGAAAATAAAAAATATCTTTAAATATTGTATATTAACTAATTTGTAGGAGATTATAATTTTTTATCCAAATTTAGTGTATTTTTACATTATATATTTATATATTTAATATTTTCAATTTATCACCTGGTTTATGAAAGTTTTAAGGGAGTTTGTCAATTGTGAGATATGTTTTTATAATGTAGTAATTATGTGGTTTCCCCTAAAGATATTGTGTGTGTTTTGAGCCCCTTTGGTTCTGATTTTGCAAACTAAAAAAAATAATTTTTTGATCGTTACTTAGGCCCCATTTTGTACATATTAATGTAAAAATAAGAATGAAAAATATAATCCTTACGGGTCCCATACAAAAGATAGAAAGTTAAATATGATGGCTTGATGTAATAGATAACGGTGATATTTTTCATTTTAATGAGCAAATAATGGAAAACAAACGAAGGATTAACATGGTCAGTCGTCATTTTTTACTTCTTTATTCACATCTGGGATCCACTTTTCTCTCTAATGGTCAAAAAATTGATTCTAAGAATTAGTACCAAACAGACCCTAAAATAATGAATTTTCCTATGTGAAAATTAAATTTATAATACCATTTTTACTTTCCATTCTTTATTATTTCAGAAATACTTTTTTTAAATATAGAAATACAACCCTTATACCAGTTCGGTCATTATCTTCCTCAGTCCAATCTTCATAGTATTAATTATTGAATCTCTAATTTCCGAAGCTGAAATTCTAATCTTTTCGGTTTTTGCACCAAAAATTCTGCAATATAGAACTGAAAAAGATTATTGAATACATCAGTGATTGTAGAATTATGATATTTAGAGGGTGTTAGGTGGGGATTAAAATTAGATTTTTTTTAATAAATTGTAATAGAAATTTTTGAAATGTGTGATTGAAAAGCCGTGGAACCCATGAAATATGTGATTAATATTCATTATTTGACTTTAACTTAGATTAACATCAAATATTAATCCGAACCAAACATGTAATCAAAGTCGTTTAAGATTGTGGATTAACAATCTCATACCAAAAGTGTATGATTTCTTTAGAATGGCCTTATAGTCGATCTTTAGATCAAATGTTCACATATTTATTTATAATTCTAATCACAGGGTATGGTGATACATGCTGTTATTTTTCCATCGTATTGTTTTTCTATTCCAAAGTTTTTAGTCACGAAGAAAGGGAAAATAATTTAAAAGGTTTTATAAAATATATGGTAAACAGTTAGCAATTTTCACACATAATAAAGTTGATTTTATTTATTTTTATTTTTTAAAACATGAAATACATATTTTGTTCTCATAAATAATTGAGAATGTACTATGAGAAAAATGAAAGTAAGAATTATATGTATATTTCTATGATAATAGAATATTGACGTGTCAAGTTATTCTTCTTCAAGAGCGTTAATATATTTTTCCAAAATATTGATCTGTATAAGTTAATTCTTGAGATCTACACAATACTGTTTGTGAATATTGATTTATTAGTCGTGTTTATTCCTGAGCATCAAAATAACATTTTTTGAAACATTGATATAAATAAACTTTTGCTTCTTTAGGAGTAGTTAAAAAAAAGGTAATTAGCACAAAACGTCCCTACCTTTCGATGTTTTTGTGGAAAACGTCCCTACCTTTTGTTTTTTGGCGGATTACACCCTCACTTTTACTTTTTTTTTGCGCAAAACGTCCTTCTATCAAGTTCCCGTTAAATTAATAGGTAATTAGTACAAAAGGTCCCTACCATTCAATATTATTGTGCAAAACGTCCCGTTTTTTGGCATAATTAGCACAAAAGGTCCCTACCTTTCAATGTTATTGTGAAAACCGTCCATACCTTTTATTTTTTAGCATTTTCACCCCTACCTTTCACCTTTCATTGCAAAAAAGGTCCTTCTCATCCATTTTTTCAATAAAATGACGATTTTACTCTCCTATTCAAATAAAATAAAAAGAAAAGATGAATTACCAACTGCAACCATAGTCCTTAAATTTTTAAAAAATTACAAAAAAAATCATAAATTCTCAACCACCACCATTTTCACAACCTATCAAGCTGCCAACTATAAATCCACATAACACCACCTTTCGGCCACCATGCCCACCGGACTCCACCACTGTAAATGTGGTTGTTTTGGACAGATTGGTGACCAATACTATGGAGGAAGATATTGGGGAGAGTGAGGCGATACTGGTGGTGGTGGAGTCCGATAGGTGTTGTGGTCGAAAAGTGGTGCTATATGGATCTATAGGTGGTGGCTTGGTGGGTTGTGAAAGTGGCGGTAGTGGAGAATTTAGGATTTATTTGTAATGTTTTGAAAGATTTAGAACTATGATTGCAATTAATTAATTATTTTTTTTCTTTTCTTTTTGTTTTATTTCAATAGGAGGGTAAAATCGTCATTTTATTGAAAAAATGAATGAAAATGACCTTTTGCGCAATAAAATGTGAAATGTAGGGGTAAAAATGCTAAAAATGAAAGGTAGAGACGTTTTGCACAATAATATTGAAAGGTAGGGACCTTTTCTGCTAATTATGCTAAAAAATAAAAGGTAGGGACGTTTTGCACAATAACTTTGAAAGATAGGGACCTTTTGTGCTAATTACCTTTTGATTTAGCGGAGCATTTTAACGGAGAGTTGACAGAAAGATGTTTTGCGCAAAAAAAGGTAAAGGTAAGGGTGTAATTCTCCAAAAAATGAAAGGTAGGGCGCAAAAAAAGGTAAAGGTAAGGGTGTAATTCGCCAAAAAATGAAAGGTAGGGACGTTTTCCACAAAAACATCGAAAGGTATGGATGTTTTGTGTTAATTACCCAAAATGCTAAAAATGAAAGGTAGGGACGTTTTGCACAATAATATTGAAAGGTAGGAACCTTTTTTGCTAATTATGCTAAAAAATAAAAGGTAAGGACGTTTTGCACAATAACTTTGAAAGGTAGGGACCTTTTGTGCTAATTACCTTTTGATTTAACGGAGTATTTTAACGGAGAGTTGATAGAAGGATGTTTTGCGCAAAAAAAGATAAATGTAAGGGTGTAATCCGCCAAAAAATGAAAGGTATGGACGTTTTCCACAAAAACATCGAAAGGTAGTGATGTTTTGTGCTAATTATCCTTTTAAAAATGTTTCTTGATTAAAAAAAAAAAAAAAAAAAGGTTGAACCCCAACCTTAAGGGCCCCCACCGACCCTGCCCTGGGCCATCGTGGAGGAGGTATATCGCAGGATGTGCCTCCCAGGAGCCAGGGTGAAGAGCACATGGATAGGCCAAGGCTGTTAACCCATATGATAACTCCCGCTTGCAACAAAGCCAATTCCACCTTGCGGGGAATCGAACTTTGCACACTGCCGCGCTGAGCCCTATCCGCCCTCCCCTTTGCCACTGGGAGATATGCCCTGCGGTGGTTTGGAGTTGGGATGGAGATGGAATCTACGAGTCGAAGGTAATAGAAAAGGGGTTGGAGGGACCCAACATGCTGGTCAACTTCGAGAAGTCGAGAGATGCTACTTTAAAATTCACGA